TCTATACAATGTTGCGGTCTGATCCCGGCTGAATGGAAGCCGGTTTCTGGTGTTTTGTTTAGCTTCTTATTTGCAACATAGTACATAGTTGCTTAGAGTTGCAGCTGAGAGGCTGGCAAGTGAGGCGGGGAACGTTGGAGTCCGCAGCAAGCAAGCCTCATGCTCGCTTCAGTGCCTGGCTGCCGGCCACCATCTTGGCTGACAGTTAATTTGCATATACTCACTGATTAGCCAATGAAAAGGGTAGTGGTCGTACGCTAATTACCATGTTTCTCTTTTATTAGTGTAGATATATATATATGACAGTCTAATATGAAGACATCCCCTGAGCTGTGCAGAGGCCCTGACCATCACTAGCCACAGTATTCTCATCTCCATTTTATAGATTAGCCATCTGAGGCTCTGAGAGGTTAAGAGAGGTGCCTAGGATCACAGAGCCAAGTAAGATCCAAATCCAAGTGGACTTGATTCCATAATCCATGTCCTTTTTACTACTTCCTGTACAGGACTGCTGAAGTTCTGGGAAATTGATTTCACTAAGAAAATAGAGCCTGAATAGTCCCTTTTATATTTGGGTAAAGAATTACTTTGCTTACCCAGAATTTATTGTGTAACTGAATGGAAGATGAAAGCACTTTGACCTCAAACAGTGTCTGTATCTTTTGAAAAACATCAAACTCATTCCTAACTAAATGGGCGTATTAACCATAATGAGCGGAAGGAATCACTCCTAGGCTTTGGCTAACCCTCTACAGATCTACAGTCCCTTCCTTACAAAGAGAGAGATTTCAAACTTGAAATCAAGAAATGATGGAGAGGGCTTGTCACATTATCAGAAAACTAAGAAACTCAATTTTCCTCAGATCCCAACACAGCCAATCACATGACTATGACAGCTGCAGAATCAGAGAAGGGAAAGTAGCATTTAAGAAGTCCCTACAATCTCTCATTTAATTTTTACCATAACACAATGGGATATATCAGTAGTTCCCAACGTGGGGCACATGCCCCACAGGGGGCAATTTGATTTTTAAGGGGGGCAATTCGAGAATGAGTTATTAACAGTGAATTTTTTTGCATTTCTTATGGTTCTGGGGCCTCATATACAGAATATAAATATATAGTGTGACATATTTATGCATTTCAGTTCTCCATTATGTTTCAAAACTTTGCTATTCTTTTATATCACTTCATATTATAATTATTTTTTTTAACAATTTCTTAGTGATTTCTTCCTTAGCACTTCAACTGTCCTTTCATTCTTTTGTTTTTCTCTTTCATGGATGACATGTTCCTTGGAAACTTGTTTAGACGAAGTTAATGGCCTTTTAGGCTTCCTCCACGTGAATTGGAGTTCATTTTTTGAATAATAAGAATTATATATCATAGGGAAGGGGCACCAGGATTTTAGAGATGCTTAGGTGGGACATGGCCAAAAAAAGGTTGGGAACCACTGAGGTAGATATTAAATACCCCATTTGAGGAAATGAAGAAACTGAAGCTTAGCACAGGGCTTCCCCAAAGTCAATAACTAATCAGTGCTAGAACCGGGATTCCAACCCAGGTCTCTCTGATCCTAAAAGTTTATTTGCACTAAAAGGACAGGCATCTATAATAATAAAAGCGTAATTTGCCAATTAGACCAGATGACCTTCTGGACAAGCCGGGGCTGCGAGGGGAGCCTGGGTCCCAGGTGCCTGCTGACATCCTGGGTGCCTGCTGGTGGCCGGAGGGAAGCCCAGGTCCCAGGTTCCAGAGGGAAGCCAGTGCTGGCAGCTGGGGGAAGGAAGGCCTACTCTTGCACAAATTTCGTGCATCGGGCCTCTAGTTTGTGATAAAGGACAGTGAAAAGTCAATGTTGACCAAGGAGGGTCACTAGCGAGACAACTCAATCTGCCAGACAATCACGGGAAACCACCCTTACCATCAGCACCTCAGCAGTCATTACCTGTGTGCACAGTTTACCACTCAGGCAGCCCTTTCACAGTAGTTGTACTTATGAGACCTAGTATAGCCCTGTGAGATAAGAAGGGAAATTTTTATTAGTAGCATTTACAGCTGAAAAAACTGAGATTTTTTTTTTAAATGTAAATAATTTTCAATGTGGCATGAGTGATTTGGCAATAGTGGAATTGGAAGTTAACTTTTCTGTGGATGAGTGAAATGAAACAGAAGGTAGGGAGGCGGGCCCTGATTCACTGTCTGGAGACCAGAGAGTCAGAAAGGGCTGGTGTTCAGCTTTCTACCAGCACCTACTCTCCAAAGTTGAGTTTCCCAAGAAAGAGGCATTCAGCCACACAGCCAGGCACAACACAGACCTGCAACTTTAAGACAGCCTTAGCCTTTAGGATCTGTGCCCCCTCATCGCCTCAAGAAATTCATCAGATACCTCCCAACCCTCTTGAACAACACCCTCTGTTGAGACCTCAAGTCCACCAGCTGCTGGAGCTTCTCGTCATAGGCACTTTGAGGTTCAAGACCTTCTCATCTCTCAAGCTGCTCTAAAGAGGTAGGGACTGAAGAAGTTTAATCTAAGCAGCCCAAACTAAAGGAAGAAGGCAGGAAATGTTTTCTCCCCAAATTCTTTGTGAAAATACACCAAACTCTGAATTTCCCAATTTATTAAGCTCCCAGGCCTTTACACCACTGCACTCTTTCCCCTAGTCCTGTGGTCAGCAAACTGTGGCTCGCGAGCCACATGCAGCTCTTTGGCCCCTTGAGTGTGGCTCTTCCTAAGCCTTAGGAGTACCCTAATCTACACTAATAAAAGAGAAACATGGTAATTAGCGTACGACCACTACCCTTCCCATTGGCTAATCAGCATATCCTTATGCAAATTAACTGTCAGCCAAGATGGCGGCCGGCAGCCATGCACTGAAGCGAACAGGGAGGCTTGCTTGCTCCAGTGACGGC